GCTTTTTCTTTTGTAAGATATATAAAATAATTTTGTTGTGATAATGAAATGTGTCTTTCTTTTAATATCCCCAAACTGTATTTCTAGAGCGCTTACCAATTAAAAATATATATATATGGCACATGACTTTGTAGCTAGGATACATGCGGTTTGGAGAAGAATATCACAGGCTGCTGAGACGTCATTTTCAAAATTGAGAACTGTAGCAATCTGCAAGGTTTGCTTGTTTGGGTCAGATATTTTATTTTTTGATGCTGTTTAGTTTCTTTATATATACTCACTTGGAGACGATTCTGTAATAAAGAACAAGTACATTAGTCATTCAGTTTAATGGAATGAACTAGTATTTTAAAAAGTCATAGTTACTTAAAGAATTAGAAAAAAGGCTGTATTAGTTAGAACAACAATTAGTCATAGAACACACCTGACTGCAAAGTTCAAAAGTAGATATTTTAAGCATCTATCTGGTCCGGTTATCTATCCCATCCATCACAATGATGAAGTGAATGGTATGTAATGAACAAAACTGGATGAGGCAGGCAGGGTGCTTAGTACAGAGTGGGCACTCCATAAATTTATGAATACCCCCCTCAAGCAGTCAAGGCATTACCACCAGAACAAAAGGGGTGAGATGTAGCATGGTAAACATAAATGACAATTATAAAAAATAAAATCACATCAACATTGCTAATGCTGAAAGAGAAAGAACACATCTTCTTCCTTAATGAAATGAAGTCTTAAAGAGTATGAGTAATTGCGTAAAGGCACATGGTTAATAACTAACAGAGCTATTATAAACATAAATGCAGCAGGTTTTACAAAGGTATGTCCAAAGACCAGAAATAATTCTATCAATAATTGTTCAAAATATAAACTAACATAATACTTTGAACATTTAATTACAGGGAATTTTCTAAATGATTTATTCATTGTAACTTCAATATCTCTGTTGACTTTTCAACATGTTTTCTAGAACGCTCATTCTAGATTATGCTTTACACAATGAGATTTTAAAAAGTCAGTTGTTTCTATCACAATTAATCAGAACCCCAGCAGGTAAAAACAGATTGCTGTTTGAACTTCACCTTCAGATTTCTGAGAGTCCTCGGTGACCTCTGGGTCTGGGAGTGTCTCTGTGTCTTGGTGTCCTTCGAGGTCCTCTTTGGAGCTAGATGTTTTCAATGTCTGCGGGCTCCTCGTCTCTGAATCTGCTCGAGGTTGTAACCACTCATCCTTATAACCATTGCTAATAAGTTTGGAAAAGTTTGTTGGGGAACTGGTTTTTTTACCAGGCCTCAAAAAGAGAAAAAGTAATGTCAAACTTAAATACAAAAACAAAACACACACTGTTATTGTGGTGATTCCTAGTCATATTTCCTTATGATTTTTAAATCAGAAAGGTCTCCATTATGTTTTAAGGAATAACTATACAGATCGAATGATGTCTACTGAAAATACGTTTCAAATCCGAAACCCACTATGCCTGTGGTTATAATTCTATTTGGGAATGAGTCTTCTGTTATGTTAATGAGCCAAGCTTAGTGTATGGTGTATCTTAAATCAATATCTTTTGAGATATAAAAAATTAAATAAGCAAGCAGAGAAAGTGTTGGTGCAAGACAGATAAGAAGATGCATAGAGATCTCCAAGTTAACAAGAAGCAGAAGCTGAGACATGGACCTTCCTTTAGAGCTGACACAGAGAGAAAGGTTTCCACTCCAGGCATTGCTCTGAACTCCAACATTTCTCCTTAGTAAAGCCACCCACTTTAGCTATTTCTGCTATAATTAAGATACATCAAGTTAATTCCCCCTAATAGCAATGCTGTGTAGGGTTTCTGAGGAGTGGGCTGGTGAGTTAGAGCTGTCTACCCAGCAAATCAAACAGACCTTGTTGTCCAGTGCTTATCCTACAGTGCCACACACAAGATAACTAAGAAAACAATTCATCTAGGTATTTTTTTTAAATCAGTTTTAAGGGATAATAATTAATTTGTTTATTATCAGTACATTTTCTGAAAACTGATTCTGATTAATTAAGAAACAAGAGACTGACAGGCAAGGATGAAATACAGGAAAGAAAAAAAACACCAGAATGAAAGAGGCTACAGTGTGGTCTTCACTAGCACTAGCCTGGGGATCTGAAACACTGAGGAGAGGAAGTCGCAATCACTTCAAATCCTAAATCCACTATATATGCCTGTGGTTATAATTCTATTTGGGAATGAGTTTTATGTTATGTATTTGTACGATGCTGGGTGTAATGCACTAGATCACAAGGATGATTTGAACCAAACTATCAGCAGTGAAAATCCACCAGCTCTTCCTTTGAAACCCTATTCAGAGTTGCTATGAGTTGGAACCGACTCTATAGAACTTAATAACAACAACAAAGTTCATAATTAATCAGAATAATTTTTTAGTGAACATGTATTCACTCCATATACTGAACAAATAATCCAAGAAGCTGGATTATACCTAGAAAAATGTGGCAACAGAATTGGAGGGATGGTTCACAGCCAGATTCTTAACTACTACACTACCAGGCCTTGCTCCTTCAAGATGGCAGATCGGGTAGACATGTAGCGAAGAGCTTCGACAACAACACGGAATACCAGGCCACAAGGGCTCATGAGATGGTGTTGGAACTCTGAAACAAATATAAAGGTATGTTTGGAGGATCGGAGGGTTTACAGCTGGGGAACTTGAAGGGAATCCAGAAATCCATTATTTTCTGGATCAAGACACTCAGCTGTTTCTGGAGCCGCCATCTTAGGAGAAAATATCTTGATTGTATCAGGATTGATAGTATCAGGAGAGAACATCTTGATTGTATCTTCATTATATCAGGATTATATCAAGATTAACATCAACATTTAAAGTGACAGTATCAACATAAAACCAAACAGCCACCACTCGTCTGTCTGTCTTGCTGTGGTGGATTGAGTTACTGTGATTCTGAGGGCTCTGCCACTGGTATTTTAAATAACCAGAAGGGTCACCCATGGTGGACAGGTTTCAGATGAGCTTCCAGACAAAGACAGACTAGGAAGAAAGAGTG